GAACCCGGCAGCGCAGGATAGGATGCAGTGGCAGTTGTGCTTTTCACAGCCTCGTTTTGCACCAGTGGCTCGAAAATGCCTTGGTTGATGGTAGATAGATTGCCCTGCACTAGAAAAAAACTGTTATTCTTTGCCGTCCGCGGCTTGTGATGGATGGGCACAGAACCCTCCATTAGGAGCTACCTCCTGCCGGCGAGTCTGGCGGCGCGAGCCCGCGCCATCTTCCGGCGATGGTGGGCGGCACAACTTGTCAACCAGGCCATGATGGGTTGCGGTTGGTGGTGCTTTTCATGGCTTTGTTCGTTGGTTCTGTTTCTATTGATGTTGGTTTGTCGTGGCAGTGCTTGGGTTGTGACAGGTTGCTGGTTGAAGGATTTCAGAGATGTTTGCCAGAAGTCCGTGGAGTAGATGTAGTGGATTTTCGCTCGGGGTGAAACAGGTACTTAGGAATAAGTAGTTGAACGCGCGTGAGACATGCTCCTTGCCAGCCGCCGAGGTCTCCTAAGACCCACCGGCCGAGAGAGGTGTTGTTACATGTGGTTACCAGAGGTTTCAAATTTTGCTCGATGGCTCTCCCGCCACACGCATCGGCCTCAGTACGGGTTGGAGAAAAAGGATTTCGGGTTCGTTTTGTCCTCGCTTCGCAGCAGATCCGTTTGCAGCTTGCAGGGCTGGTAAAGAAATGGGATCGGGTCGGACTCAAAGTACATCTTTTCGCTGCAGGGGCTATTGACGACTTTTGAAAACGGCCGAAATAGCAGAAGTGACTGCGAATATGTGCAGTTTTTCCATAAAAATTGCGGGGTCCATGTCCAAAGCTGATGTCTCTTCTGGAAGGAAGCCACCACTCTGGCGATCCACGTGCGCTTGGGCGATCGAGGCGATGGGCTGGGCATAACGCACCTCGGTTGTTACCGACGTTGTGAGGGCATATACTCATCATAAAATCATACAGTGCGTGATGCCTTGGTCCTCGATGATCGCGAGGCTTTGGAGGATGCATGCTAGGTTAAAGTCGAGAGCCCTGCGCAGATGAGTCAATCCTTACCGACCACCGACCAGATGGTGTTTCTTTCACTCGGCCGGGGTCAGAGTTGAGCTGCCATGGAGGCGAAGGGAATCGCGTCCACGTCTCCCGATCCAGGTTCAACGGCCCAGCAAGCCTCTACCCAAGCCTCGGCACTGCTCAGGTACTTCCGTGAGTCTGTGCACTTGGCAAAAGCAAAGATCGCTCGCCTACAGAGCCGAGCTGCCGTACCCTCGTCCGAACGGTTTGAGCCATGCCGTTGCAGGTCTGAGAACTTGAAAAGGTTAGGCAGGGCTTCTGGATTGTGTCTACCGGGATATGCAAATCAGATTTGAAGATTGTTGCTGGTACTTCCTAAACCGGTCCATGCAGGTGGCGCCCGATTTCCCAACAAATTATATAGCTTGTGATTCTCAAGCTTTCAAGTTTTGTTCTCCTGTGATAAGCCATGAGGGAGGCACATCTTCTTGGGCCTTCACGATACCATCAATGCAAGAGCTCCCGCCAGGAATGAGCATAGTTCGCCCGGCGACTTGCCAGTCTGTCTGGGAGCCGGCTGGGGGTGAAACCCTTCAATCCCCTTCCCTTCAATCGTTGGTTGCGAGAATTTCAACCCCAAGGACGGGAATACCCACTGTATCCTCTTCTCCGACGAGCCGGACGCTTTGCTCACAGCTTCCTCCATGATCAGTGCTGAATAAATTCCCCTTTGCAGAGAGTGCCAAATCAAGCCTTGACGTGCTACATACTCTGCGGCTTTGAGATTGGAGGAGCGACTTCGCTCTGGCAGAGCCGCGCAGATCTGCCCCAAGCACAGCATCTTCGAGGCGAGATCGGATTTGCGGAGTGAGGGCAACGGGCAGTGTTTTTAGGTTTCATCATTCCTAGTAGAGTCCACGAGAGAGCCTCACAAGAAGTCTGGCGCATCTGCAAGGAGCCGATGCGGGACGATCTGGCTCTTGCCGTCTTGGCTGTGTGCTGCTCGGGGTAGGGCTCCCCAGCTTTTCCTGCGTGCAGTCTGGTGTTGAGTGTGCGTTAGCAGCACGAGAAACAAAGCACCCGAAAAGGTTGGGACAAGACTCAGCTCCTGGCTAGTAGATACTCTCCACACATAGCTTCCGTTTCGGAGTGGACGAGCTTGCATGCTTTCGTGTTTCAAGCCCATAGTCGCACACCTTGATGTACACCCTTGATTCAGCCCCTCAGCTTCGCTTGCAAACGATGATCGATGATGGCCATCACCATGTTGTTTTTCTCGAGTCTCACCTGCCTGCTCAGGATCGTCATCAGCTTTTCTACATTCAGCTGGTGGGCTGCGGTCCTTGGTGATTACAAGGTGCCCTGGCGGCCCTTTCAGCCCTGACCGTAGAACATGCACCTGGAAACGAGATGCGGCAAGAATGGCAGGCTGTATTTTCATTTCTTGACTGGAATCATGAATGACACCTGTATGCACTAATTACAAAGTGGCACAGTTCTCGTGCTCCAGCGCCCCTGAATGTTCCGTGGCAGCCCTGTTCAAGTTCGAAGGCTTCGAAGGTTAACCTATTGAGGTCAAGTTCGGGCTCAAGAAGATAAGGTGGTAGTGGCACCTGCGACAACGGAACAAAGCTGTTCGCCCACTGCCCCGGCCGAGTTGCCTGGCCAAAGATTTCGGCGCTACATGGGCCGAAACAATAAGTGGCAATCAGCGTGCTAGCATATCCCGGAGCCTGAGGAACAACACATTGGCCTACGTTCCTGGCTGGCTCCGCGCTGACGTTCCGTGCGATGCGGAGAGACTTGGTAGGCTTGGTGCAAAACGGGCGCGTTAGTCGAGTCTGGGTATCAGTCGAGTATCCATCACATGCGCACAAACTTGCATGACTGGCACAACATGTTCTGATTCGAGTAGTCTGGAACCTGTTACTCTATGATTCGACATACCCTGACCTGTTTCTTTTCTGGCCAATCGCATGCGATATGGGTTGACTTTCTAAGCCGGGGTAGCCCGGAAAATGCACAGAGCATTAAAGCTTTTTGCCATAAGTGCTGTTGTGCTAGTGCAAGTTTACGAAATTTTTTATTCTTGCTTGAGATCTGCCCATTCGACACACCGAGCGCTGGGGCCTGCTTGGCTTCGGCAACCCCATGCAGCCTCTGCGTGGCATCCGCGTTCAGACGCAACCATGGAAGATCCAGCAATGCTCTCGTTGCAGTTCTGCTGATAACCTGGGCCTTTGCGTGTTTGAGAGGCAGAGAGACGGCAGGATCACAACTTCTGTTTTGAAATGGGCTTCTGTGGCCTTGTTCGCCACTGCCTGGCGCTCCGGCAGGCGACCCGAAATACAGCTGAGAAGAGCGGTGGTCCAGGAGGTGGCATTGGATTTTCTCCCCGGCACGGACCTTCCTTCCACTGCCCCGGCTCCGTTGGACAACGAAGGTGCTGCAGACAGGGTTCGACGCATGGTTGCTGCCGACCCAAGCAACAAGGAATTGGAGACAGAGAGGCAGGAGCCACCCTTCTCTGACGAGGACTTGCGTGAGGCCTGGCACGAACTCCAGCTCGGTCATGCAGACGAGGCCCGATCCCGCTTCGTGAGGGCAGTACTGGCAGATCCAAGCGACTCAGAAGCTCTGTTCTGCATGGGCTTGCTTTATGAGGCCTTACACGACTTGCGTCGAACCGCGGAGTGGATGGACATGGCGATAGAAGTGTGCCCTGACCACGTCTTTGCCTGGGAGACGCGATCACGGTGCATGGAGCATCTGGGTCGTCTTGCTGAGTCCCTGGCGGGATATGAGCAACTGGAGATGTTGGACGAAAGCGCCACAGGGCGCCGGGAAGGCTTGCTCGGGCATCAGCGTGTGTACATCCTTCCCGTGGGAGCCTGGGAGGATGGGGCGGCAGGATACATCCAAAAAGCGGCAAAGAAGATGCCGCCTCGACCGCAGTGGCAGGAGAACTTCCTGTTTCCGGAGCCCCTGCCAGCCCTCCGGCAGCCTGCGCTGGAATCCGGGATAATGGCCTGGGACAATGTCTTGAGCAAGGGTTTGCTGCAAAGGCTCCAAGATTGCGTGGAGGACCATTTCCAGTTCATCTTCACGAACCGGTGGGTGTATGCGGCCGACGATGCGTTTGAGGGCGCAGCTTCGACCATGTGGCTTCCGAGTTCTGGAGATGCCAGAAGTGTGCCAGAAGTGGCTGCACTGACAATACTCCGACACATTCTGAATCAGGACCCGGCAGAAATTGCAGGTGTCGAGTATTGGGCTCGGGTTCGATCTGTGAACCTTGGTGCAGGCTTTCACTATGATGAGGCCGTGGATGCAGACGACATTAATTCAGAGTGGGTTCACGGGAACCCATGGCGACCTCAGTGGTCAAGTGTGTTCTACCTCACCGATGAAGGAGGTCCAACTGTGGTGTTGGACCAGCTCCATGATCATGACGGACGGCTGGCACCCACGTTGCCCCGGAAGGGCTACCTCTGCATGCCCCGTACAAACCGCTTGGTTCTGTTTCGTGCAGATCTTCATCATGGTAGCCTCCCCCTGGATATTTGGCTGGATAGCGAGCAGACGAGGAGGGTCTTTGTCTTCAACTTTTGGCGTCGGCATGCGCCCGAGCCACCCCATTGCCAGCGGCTGAATTTACAGCATCACCCCGCCATGCGGCGGCATGTCCTCACGTCAGACGAGGCCGCGGCTCTCCAGGCTGTCGAGAGTAGTCGCTTCGAAGATGGCCATGATGGTCCCAGCCCGGTACGACAGAAGGTCCTTTCCCGACCCGAGGAGCTGCCCCACAGCTCGGACTTCGGATATCTTCCACGGCCCCTGCCCATGCCCACCATGGCGGCGCTCACGGCGGAGAGGCTCTTCTACGAAGTGGACTGGCCGGCTGCCGCACAAGCCAGCAGGGAATAAAAAAGATGCCGAACCTGCTTCCGCTTGGTTCTGTTGTCTGACGCCGAAGGATGCTGCCGTGTAATGAACCCTGAACCGCATCCGTAATGTAGTGCTCCGCCCGAGCTTAGCAGAAGCGTCATGCCGTGCTCCTTTTCAATGCTTGATAGCCCATCTCATTGAGCGCCTCCCTCCTGATTACGGTGACGTGGCTTGTTTGGGCTCTGTGAGCTGCCGATTGCTCCGGCGCGCGGCGACAAGCCGCGTGGTGCCCCAGCCGTGGATGGAGGCCCTCTGGGGTGGTGAGGCGGAGCTCATCTCTGACTCGAGGCTAGCAGAAGCTGCACTTGCTCGTGCCGCGGGACAAGTGGTCCCTCACTTCGCAGCGGAAGTTGCTACCACCTTCAATGAGACCGCACCCTCCGCACCACCAGTCCCTTCGCGGGCGCCGTTGCCAGAGAGGCATGTCCGGCAAGAGCACAGCTTCGGCCCGGAGGTGCGTGGAGACTGGCAGGTGCTGGACTCTGCCAGTGCTCCGCAGAAGACAGTGGCCACTGTGAGCATGATCGACTGCTTGTGGGAGAAGGTCACGAAGGTCAGTGATGACGTGGACTCCCTGCAGGAGCAGGTGGGCGACCGTACCATCATCGAACTTTTTTGGCTTGAGGATAGGATCTGAGTTTTGCTCATTGCAAAGCGCCCTGCAGGTCCAGGGCCACAGTACGGAGATCAATGCCTGGATCCCCAACCATGAGGTCCGGCTTTTATCAAATTCGCTACAAGCGTGGCGCCCGTCCTGCCGTTCTTGAAGTCTTGGCATGAGCATGGAAGCATCTTCCGGTGTTGAATCCGGCAAACTCTGCCTTTCACAAATGCTCTGACAGGTCGCCAGGCGATCAGAGCTAGAGGAGCTGTCCAAGGTCTGTGCATCGCTGCGTTCAGACTGTGCCACGAGGCCGGGGCTGTCCACAGCAATATGATGGTTATGGCCATGGTTCTGAATAGCTGTTGTATATGTCTGTGATGTCAACATCGTCCTCGCCATAATAAGCATGTTCGCAGCTATCGCTGCTATACCGCCGCCGCCAGCACCACTACCGCCACTACCGGTCACTACCGCCACCCCCATCTTCACATACCAGCAGCCAGCAACCTCGATAACCAGCAGCCTCATGACCACAAGCTTCGTCACTGGTGATGTCACTATCACCGGCTACCCTCGGTACAATCATGTCGTCGTGATAATGTGACTACCCACGATCACGCGGTTGCTTCTTTGCTCGCTGCAGGGCCACATGCGTATGTGATGGGCTTGAATTGGTGAGTAAACTGTTCGCTCCTTGTTGTCAGCTATCGCTCTCGACTTTCTTCGTTTCTTCCCAATCTTTTCTCCCTGCATCGTTCCCTGTTTGTTTGCAGAAGCGGCTTATCTGTAAGTCTAATTACGTCTAGCCTGAGCAGATTGATAAGCAGGCTGTCAAACTTGCAACCCTTGCTGGTTGCTGACCTTATCAACCAGCATTCTGTTGGTTTTCTAAGCTAGCAGCTATACGTCGCTCTGTGGCACGCTCGCCTGGTCTTGCGAAATTATTTCGCGATAGTAAGCCCCCTGACGGGACAGCGTCCCAAACTTTCGGGTCGAAAGTGTAAATCACCCGAGCCATGAGGCGGCAGCTGGAGGATCAGGCCACCGAGCTCCAAGGCTACCCGGACATCTCCACCCCTTCCGTTCGACACACGCCTTCACCCGCTCGTTTGGTCGACGTGGAGTCGAGCCAAGGTGCCTGGCGCACGCCTATGGCTAGTCTCTCAGAGCGCCTGGGTGCCCTGGAGGCCGCAGTCCTTGCTTACACCGGCTGGGTGTGTCTTGACAGTCTGATGTGTCTGCCTCCGCCCGTATACTTCTTGCGAGAGGAAGGTGTGCTTGTGCAAGAGTTGGCCCAAAAGTAATGCAGAGGGTTGGAGTTCACAGGCTGCCGGTTCTGCCTTCCCAAAATTCAGCATTGAGCGCCTCGCAAGCTTGTTCCCAGATGGCGGGACGTTTAGGATTTCGTCGGCACCGCAACTGCCACCAGACACCTACCGAAACCGGACCCTCGGCCCTTCGTTCCCGAAGGCCGCGGTGAAGGAGATTCCGACGCGGTTGAGCCGTGAGTCAGATGCTGCCAAGTATGCCTTGGATGGTTTGGAGCAGAGGTCCGCTACCAAGCCTGTGAAAACACCAGGCACAGTAGTACACAATGTTCGTGTGTTTCAGGCACTTCAACCCCTCTCCTTCTCAATGTGCATAACAGTGGGTACGAAACGGTTAGCGGGTAGATGTTCCGGAATTGTTCCTGGAGCCGCAAACCTCAAGCCTGCAAGGGCCTGAATTGCGGAGTGTTTGTTGCCACTGGCAGGCTAGAACAGCGCATCCAGACGGTGGTGTCCGATCGCATCAGAACCGCCGCCAGTGGCTTTGACCAACTGCTTCACCGTCTAACCGGCTAGAGGATGGAGGTTTCATATTTTGGGATTTATATAGCTTTAGGATTGTGCGAAGAGCGACCGTAGGGTGCACTCCGAAACAGCCACCCAACGAAAACATATTTTTTCCGCTAGGCGAGGCGGAGGTTCTGCGCGATGCGGCACTGGAGCGGCTCAGAGCCCTTCGGACCTTTGGTCAGAGACCCGCGGAGCTTGAACCGACCTCTCTCCATGGTGTGAAGGTCTGGTTTGTCGGAAGGCTTTGTGTGCGGTTTCAGGCATTTCAGGCTTTGCGGCTTAGGAAAGAGGCGTTGAAGTCTCAAAAAGCACAAAGGCTGCTCTGCGTCAGCAGCTTCAGGAGGAGGCAGAGCGCCAGGCCAGACCTGGATCTTCTTCGAGGGACTGTTCACATTGACATCATGTGTTTTGTTCGGCTTTAGTGGTCTTCGCGAGGCCGGAAAGGTAACGGTCTCGTGCAACAGAAAACTTGGTTGGTGACCGACACGGCTATGGAATTTGATTGCTCAGCCGAGCCGCTCACTGTAAGAAAGGAGCAGAACACCAGTCAGCTCAAGCAGCGCTTCACCGACCGTCTCGATGACGCGACGGACTCAATGCCAGGGAAGTTTTTGGAGGGCCAAATCATTCCTATGACATGGCATCCATGCTGAGTGATGGCTCATATTTCAGTGGCGCTGTCCCATTCGGCATAGCAGATCTGCGTGAGATCAGATCAGCCAGCAGTTGCCCCTGCCTGGGGCCTGTGGCGGAGCTTTTTGTCGTGAGGTCGCTGCTGGACTCCGCCGGCTTGAGGCACGGGTAGCGTTTCGCATCCGATCTCCCGAGCCCACCAATTCAGAGACTGATCCTGAACCCCGAGCACTGTCGAAGTCAACAGGTTTCCCTCCAGTCGGAGACGGCAGATCGCCACTTGGTCAGAGGGGCGGGGGTGCTACGGTTAGTTCTTCTTTGTGTGAAGCTTGGGGAACCGTCAGCCAGCAGAATCTCGGAAGCCGCGTGAACTAGCTGCAGCCGAGCCACCCAGTGGCGGCCCAGCTTTAGCTCCCGGCGCCTTGAGGCTTGGACTCTGCTCAGAAGGAGCTGAGCCACCTGGCAGCCGAGCAGATGCGGCTCGCCCGGGCCGTGGATGAGAACCGGAAGCTGGTGTCTTGGACCCGGGGTTGGAGGAGGCTTGCGGTTGGGCAAACACAGGTTCGGGTTCGCATGTTGAGGTTCCTGGCCGCCTTTCAGTTCCGAGAGCTAAGAAAGTACGTTTTTTGTTGCAGGCGTAGGTCGCTGCCCCGGGGCTGCTCAAAGGAGTGTTGACGGCGGTGTCAGAAGTTCCCACAACAACCCCCCCCAACTTCAACTCCCATTGCTTCGGGCCTGGCACAACAGGTTGATGCCTGCTCCGAGGACTCGGGCTGCTCAGGGAATTCGTCGGCACGATTTGAATCATGGGTTGCTTTCGATGGAGCTTTGCTCAGCTTGCGCCAAGAGAGGGAAATGGCTGCCAACTTTGCCACCGGGTTCCCAGCCGGGCTGGTTCGCAGGACAACCGACGATCCCTCGAGAGCGAGAGCCGCCGCGTGACAGAGGTCGAGGCAGGCAGATGTACTCGTAGAGCGAAAAAGACGCGGAAATCCACGCGACGAGGCCTGATCGTTGCGAACAGTCTTCCTTGTAGCAGTAGACAGCGCAGTAGGCCTCGAGAAATCGAGCACCTTGGGAGGCTCGCAGCTTGAGCAGCAGCTCGGAAATCCAGCGCTTGGGCCAGAGGCTGGAGTTGCAGAGCCAGGAGTTCCTGAGCAGGCCCCGGTCTCAGTGGAAGAGAGCAGAAAGGAGGGAAGGACGGAAGCGTGGGGAGTTTGGGCACCAGGTCCAAGGAGATCTCCCAGCACGTCGACGAGCAGATGCAGCAGGCCACACAGCGCCTGCAGGAGCATCCGGCCTGGGGAGGCTCTTTGGTGAGCGAATCAGAGCGGACCGGCCAGGACTTCGGCCAAGAGTTGAAGCAGCAGGCCCTGAGCGGCTGATCTCTTCAGAAGCGAGCTAGAATGCCAGAAACCGGACGAAGCTGCTTTCAAAGTGCCGTCAACTGCTGGCAGTCCGGCCTCTTTCATCATCCTCACATGCACGCATACATACAGTCAGCTCCAGATACTGCCCACGGGAAGCTGCAGCTCCTGAGCTGGGGGCGCTAGGCTAGGGCTCGTATGGAAAGCAGCATCACCTGCAACTGCAAATCCATGTGCTTGTGACTTGTGACTGCAGGCTTGCGACGCTGCCTCGAGCACAAAGGCCATGAGAATTGGCAAGGGGTAGAGTTCAGGTAGCCTACGCTTCGGTTATCGTGGTTTAGGGTCTGCAGCAGGTGTACGGCATGAGCACATGGATGCTTCACATGTGGATGTTGTGAGCAACTATATAGATGCCTTTGCCTGCCCTAGCTTTTAGGATCCTGGTGCGTTCCAGCTGCATTTGCATCGTAGCGTCGTCCCGCTTTCCGATGCCGTTCGACTCAGCGAGTCGAAGAAGTCGGAAAACGAGAGCATACGAGAGCTGTGCTGCCCAGACGGAGCTGCTGGCTCGGCTGAAGGACGTCCAGGACTAGGGCCGTGCGGCTACCTTGCCGGGCTCGTCCGAAAGCTCCTTAGGAAAGCTTTGCAAGGAGGGTGAGGACGGGCAACGTCGCAGCCTGGAAGAGCGGTCCAACGCGCTGCTGGATCGAGGCATGGGGAGTGTGGGCCGCGAATCGTGGAAGCTTCTGCCGTGGGAGTGAGACACTTCGGCGTTTGGGACTGCGGCTTTGGGACCAAGCTATCGGGACCTTGTGTGAACGGACAACCCTTCTATGCCACGAGGGCCTTCTGTCATCGCATGTTCAACGCGAGTGACCGCGTGGCCATGTCCATGTCCTTCGACCGAAAATCCCCAAACTCCGAATCACGGCAGGCCTTCAGAAGTTGGCGCAGGAAGTGGCCGAGCGCATGGATGAGGGACAGGCCGGACGAGTGAGATGAGTAGTCTTGAGGGCAGGGCACCTGGAAGTGCAGGTGCAAGATCCGTTCCGACAGGGATGTAGCAGCAATGTAGCATAGTCTTTAGCATCCCTGGCCTCCAGGAAAATCAGAGACTTGCCTCTGCCGCCACAGAGGGACGCCTGCTGGGGCAGCTCGAGAGCAGCCCGGACTGGTCTTTTTGGCATTCCTACAGAAGTTCCGACTTCAGAAACTGCTTGGGTTTGTCAGGCTACAACGGCCGCCTGCTGGCCGCTGAGAGCTGGCGAAGCGCCTTCCAGGTCCGTTCCTGAGGGTTTGCACGTGGCCTGGCACGTGGCCTCGGCTTGGGAGAAGTTCGGGGGGGCTTCTGGTCGGAGATTTCTGAGAAAGCTCCCGAGTTCAGCGGCAATTTCGTGCAGACTCGCTGCTGGAGAAGTTCGGAAATGAAGCACAACATGCAGCTATTCAGGTTGGTTCGCCAACTTTCCGAATCTGGCCGATGCTAGTCAGACTCGGGCAAGAGAAGTTGACCCCTAAGGCTGCCTGAAAGGCTTCGCATGCGCCATTCGCCCATGCTCCAAGCATTTGTCAGATTCCCTCAGGACAACAAGCACCAGTGCAGCATTTACAAGTCGCAGTGCGCCAGGAGCGAGAGGCTGCACGTGAACAGCGCCTGAGCTCGCTGGGTGAGGCGGGCGGCCTTTGTGCTTCGAGTGGTCTCTGCATTGTCCGAGTGAGGGATGTCGGACATGCAAGCTTCTGCGGCATCGCAAGGCCATGCGCAAGATGGAGGCTGTTTGCAAGGCCGGCCATTCAGTGGTTCGGCTCGGCATTCCATAGGGATCTACAGTGCGTTCGCAGTGGGACATACATGCATCATCTACCTGTCGTCCTGACCTGAAATCAAGAGAGTTCTTGCTCGTCAGCCTGAAGCCAGACTCTAGAGGTGAGATTTTGTAGTGAAGATGAGCGTGCGATAGGACAGGTGGCTGGCTGGAGGTCAAGGCAACTCCCCAAGGCATGCTCCGGTCTCAACGCCAAAACGCAACCTGCAGCTTTTCACACGATGCTCGGGCTCGGGTACTCCGATGAAGCAAAGGCAACATTCAACATTCGCAAGATGCGGAAAGCCTGCCAGCCAACTTTGCAGGATGTTCCAGCACTGGAGTCCCGCATTGACGAGGCTCGTGCCGCCATCAAGGAGGACCGTATTTTGGAGTGTAGCGCCTGCTGCGCGAAGCCAGGGCTAAGGATTCGGGGCCGATAGTCGGATGCAAGTTCGGGGCTGTGGAGAGCGAAACCGCCCGTAGATCCGTTGCCTTCTATGTCAAGGACTTGGCAGCCAGTGCCATGAACGCCTTCCAAGGCCAGCTGCAGCAACACATATCGGTGATTTGTTGTTCGGAAATGTTCGGAAGAAAGGAATGCCCCAGTGTTCCGACGTGCTAAGTAAGAAACGGAGTGGAGATGGCACTGCAGAAACCTGACCTGTTCTCAGCAGGATTGTTTCTCAGGGCCCTTCTGCTATTTGTGTTTAGCGCTTCCCGGAGTTCAACTTGACGCGATGTCTTCGCCTCTCACCATTCCTAGCGTCTCAGGTTGTCGTTCTTATCTCTGCGGATTGAGGGTTTCCCGCTGCAGGCGAGATGCGCCTCTGGGCAAAGATGGCTCAACTGGGAGCTGCTCCTGCCTGCCCCGTGCTGCCAAGCCAGGCGGGAGTTTTTCGGTTCCAGGGGGTCACCGGTATGGCCGGGTTGCATGCGTTAAGGCGTTAAGGTTCTTGGCCTGCCAGGCTCCCAGCGCCTGACCCTGGGGAGCTCCGCGCAGGATGTGCCCATGGGGCCTGGCCTTGAAAGGGTTGCCTGTCCAATCTATAGACTGCCATTTAAGGGCTTCGAAAGTCAACCCATGCGAAGCTGTGGCTGCAGCATTATGCCACAAAACTCATGGGATGCCACAGCAACTGGCAGGAGCTTCCAGTCGACGTTGCTGGGGCCAGAGACGCTGCTCCTGTAGGCAGCGCTTCCATTCCCGTTTCCATCGGCTCCCGGGGGTTGCTCCACGTGATGGCCAGCATCTCCGAACTATCCCCGGCGATGTCCTGTGCGCAGTTGCATGCTAAAGTCGGCGGTGTTCCGCTCCTGCGGCAGAGGTTCTTCTTGGCACCTCGAGATGGGTTGTTTGCGCTTGCTAGAAGGCATATATCGCAGAACTTCGAGGCTAGTGTCCCCGACTCGATTTGCAGAGGTGGACTAGTCGTGGCATATAACATGGTGGCATGCTGATCTGATGTGGTGGTGGAAAAGGGCAGAACGCCGCTGATAATTCAAGATGGTCTCCACCCTCGCGGGCCAGAAGCAGCTACAGCCATGGCACCTCAGCCCGTACACTCCGTCTAGACTCGTGCAGTCCAAAGCCATTCCAGTAAGTTCCATGCGGAACCCAAAGTCTACAGCAGCCCGTCCGGGGGTGGCGTGTGGGCGGAGACAAGAGACCTCTGCAAAATGCTTGGGCGGTGGAGACAGGCTAGATTGGCCACCTCTTTTTCCTGGGACCGCTTTGGTCCGATAAACGTTCGGCAGCTTTGAGGCTCCCAGCGGCCCTTTCTCTCTCGCTTCGGACACCATGGGCCGCGTCGTTCAGAGCCTGCTGCTCCTGGCCGCAGCATGCAATTTGCTGGCCGACACTCGCCAGCGCAAGTGAAGCCATGTGGTTTCTTGGGAAGGAAAGCCGGAAAGCCGGTACAACAGAAGAAAGACTTCTGCGAGGTAAGGGCGAACTAGGCCGAGGTAGGCGGATCATTTCTGGAATTGGCAATCATGTGCTTCGGCGTGGGCCTTCAGGTTCTCTGAAGCCAAATCTGGGCCCTGCAGTGTCCCGACAAGCTTGTTTCAATCTTGAGCACGCTTACAGGCTCCTAGCTGAACGGCCTTATCCAGCACGGCCTACAGAAGCTAGAATCCGAACACCTCCGCCCCCTTCAGCGCTTGGATTGTAAGGATGAGAATCCAGCAGAGGAGGGAAACCTCAGCCACGTGCTGGCTGCTCTCCGGAGAATCAAAGTTTTCTCTTAGAAGTTTTGAATTTGGGGCGTGGAAGTTGTTCATGCGCCAGTGCGTAGGTTTTGTGGGGTGATAGAGCTTCGCAGATGGAGGTCGTGTGTTACGATGGAGATCGCTACGTAAGAATGCCTGAAGTCCGCGGTTCCATATGGGGTGTATCGGCACGCCAGTGTTGAGCTTCAAGTGTGCGAGGTGTCAAACTCCACCGCAGCTGACGGCCTTAAGCGGAAGAGCAAATACATCGCTGCTGCATTGAAGAACACATCGAAGGACGGCATTTGCAGATGAGATATCTGAAAAAGAGGGGCAGCCGTGCCTTCAGTCAGTTTTGTTTCTCCTGTCGGAGGTTCAAACATTCTCGGTACGGTATGGTCGACACGACACGCGCGCTCAGAGCAGGAGATGATGGTCAACAGCAGCCAAGATCGTTCTGCCCGGTCGTCTTCCGTCATCCGCGTCATCAACAAATGCCGGTTGGCAGCAGACATGAAGCCGGCTTTGGCCTCTTGCCACCAGCATCCACCAGCGCCCAGACGCCGTTTCGTGAGTCCGATCGGCAGTGGCCAAGGCTACAAGGAGCCCATTTGGATTGCGCACTGCTGCAGCTACAACTACAAGCAGAATGTGAAGATTGATGGAGGAGTCTTAGCTGCAGCATCTCACGCTGGGTTCCAGGTCAGGTTTCGCATTTGCGTTCGGATTTGAGTCATGGAGCAGTTAACTCACCGAAGCCGTCACTGAGCTGAAGGCGCTTCACACGACTTTCCGGCCTATGCTGGGCTTCGAGGCTTTCGGCTCTGGCCCAAGATGAGGTGGACTGGGGCTTGGGCACCCCGGAAAAAGCTGCCGGTGCGTTTGCGGAAGGTTCCCGGAGGTAGCAGGCTTGGTTATAGCTTTTTATTTTCTTAGATGCAACTTTTTTCTCTTAGATCTAACTTTTTCCTTTTTCATACTGACCCCACCTCCCCCACTACCCCACAATTCCCAAGACGAAAACACTAAGGAGTTAATTCAGCAGGACACCTTGACCGAAGACGAAAACCCTAAGGAGTGAATCCCTAAGAAGAGAACCTTAAGGAGTGAATCCAACAGGAACCCTTGACCGAAACCCTTAACCATAAAAAGTTAGTGGCCTGGTGCTAAAGACACCAAGCAAGTTATAATAAAGATGCCTGTTTGCAACCCTCTGCAGCGATTTGCTGTTTTCGGGCCCCCAAAAAGTTACAACTAAGTCATTTTGCTGAAACAGCTGAAAAGTTACATCAAAGAGAAAAAAAGTTACAAACTGTTCTACCGGTTCCCGGACCACATCTGCTCTCCGCTACATATTGAATCAGGCAAGCCCTGTTGACATCTATCGACCACCTGCATAGATTTCGAACATCATGTTGCCGGCGATGGCAGGAGTGACTTCAGTTCCGGAGCCGTCAATGCCTTGACAGGTGCAACTCTGATGGCAATGGCTGCTACATTGGTCAGCAGCTTGGCTGCCAGCGTAATGAAAATGAAGTGAGGGGCCTTACACAGGCGGGTCAAGAGCCTGGGCCGGGGGCCGATCCTGGGCCTAGGAGTGGTGGCAAGGGCCAGCCATGTGGCACTGATGGCAACTGGCGCTGCCAACAGCATGTGGACACCAAGTTCGAGGCCTCTGGCAGAATACAATATTTTGAATTTTGTGTCATGCTGGTTACTATTCAACATATGTTTGAGATGATAGGGAGCCTCTAACATGAGGGCCCGGCACTGGAACTGAAGCTGGGACGTCTAGCGCCCGCACGATCACAACTTCCTCAACCCTGGCACTCACCCGGGCCCCCGCAATGTAGTGAGCGGAGTCTGATCCAGAAGACCTAGACAGAGACGGCGCTTCGTGCCTTGCGCTTCTGACGAGGCAACTTTTGGAAGCCGTAGCGACTACTACGCGTCTGGGACGGCAGCCTCGAAGTGAGACTGACGAGTCCTAGGAACCCTAGCAGGCTTCAGAGTCGGTGCCGCCTTGGCTCAGGACATGAGCATGGTGGATGGGTATACGCTGCCATTCCAGCATCCCGGCGCCAGCATGATACGGAGATGTGAAACTCCGGGTGGGTGTTTCTGAGAAAATCCGGCAGCTCTATTCGAAGCATTGCGGTGCGCCATGGGTTTGGAAGACAGGGCCTTGTCCATAGTCGAGTCCAAGCCTTCTCGCACAGTAGAACTGACACGTTGCTTGCTTCAATCCTTTTGCTTGCCCTTTCCTGATCCCGATGTTATTTTGTAAATGATTCTGTGATGGAGTGTGCCGTCTCCTGTGTACAGGAAAGGAGAGTACACGGGCGACCGAGGCTGAGGCTCCAGGGCTGCTCCATTCCAGGCGGGTTCGTTGAAAAGCTCTGGGCCTCCAAGGCTGCCCTTCAAAGCTTGTAAGCACCTGCAAGGATTGGGCCGCTACTTGGATTGCTCGGATCTGACCCTCAACGCCTGCCCAGCCGCAAACAAGGATGGCGGTATCCGATTGTAGGGTCCTTCAATCGGCCAACATCCTGGCCTGGAAGTCTAGCACAGCCTCGCTATCTTTAGGCGCTTTCCGTGGAGCGTTTGCCCAGTTTTAGAAATGAGATCTCCGTCTCCGGAGGAGTACTACAACGGAAAGCTGATGGGCTGCCACGCACGTGGCCGCCCTGGGCATGGCACGAGCACCTCGCAGGATGTGGCATTTGCATAGCTCTTGTGTCGGATTCAGGGTTCTCTCGGAACTGCGTGTTGTGCGTCATTGAAGTCGATAGATAGATGTACCTGGCTGGGTAGATACATAGGCATGTAATTGGACAGGCAGACAGATGGATGGACAGATAGGTATCTAGGTGTGCCTATACATCCATCCATCCATCATCCATCCATGCATGCATGCATGCATGCATGCATGCATGCATGCATGCATGCATGCATGCATGCATGAATCCATCCATCCATCCATCCATCCATCCATCCATCCATCCATCCATCCATCCATCCACGCATGCATGCATGCACACATGCACATACACTGCACATATACATATACATATACATATACATATACATATACACATACAAATACAAATACAAACATATTTACATATACATATACATATACATATACATATACATACACATATACATATATACCTATGTACCTATATACATATATATATACATATATATATATAAACATATATATATATGTCCATGTGTACATCTGTATACATACACACACATATATATATATATGATCCTGTATTCGTTTTTGTGTGTAAGTATGAACAAACAGAGGTTTTGTGGAGGTGGGGTGTTTTCAGGCTCCGAGCCTCCAGATTAAGGAGCATGCGTGGAGGTTCATGGGTAGTTATAAGTGGAGTTATGAGGTTCCTTTAACGGTTTCTTTAAAGGGTTCCGTAGGAATTTTCGGGTTCAGGGCAGCTTTAAGTGGAGTGATAAGTCCCCCCCAAATATAACTATAGCTATCTAACTTATAAACCCTACCTATAACTACCCCTGAACCTCCAAGTACCATGCATCATACTAACGATCACCATGGTTCGAGGGATCCTTCATCTGCATTTTCATGGGGTTTTGTTTGCCTCAGGAACGGATTTCGAGCGTGGTGTCCTATTTCGGGTTGGTAAGGATTGAGGATTTAAGCCCTGTTCGGCCATCGATTGCTTCATTCAAGAAATCTGGGCTTTCTGGATGCTCAGAGAAAAGACTTCGGGATCAGAGAAAGCTTCTGTTTTGGGGCATCCTTTGTTCGTGTCAAAGCTTGCTTCATCTGAAGCATACCGTAATTTGCGGGGAGCTCCCTTATAATGCTGAGCTTTGGGCCCAGGATATGACCCTGTAAATGGGGTTCTGGCTCCTCCTCTGTAAACCCTAAACCCTATACCCTGTACCCTAAAC